AATTAGACCGCCAGTGATTATAGCTGTTTCCTCGCTTTTCAATGGGTCTTCAAGCTCGTCATTAGCCAAATTAATACGTCTTGTATCAATAGGTTGTTGTTGTTTGTTGTTATTTGTTGTTGATGCTGGATGCTGCTGCTGTTTTTGATGTTGTTATTGTTGTTGATGCTGCTGTTGTTGTTGATGTTATTATTGTTGTTGATTGCTGTTTTGTTGGTTGTTGGTTGATGCTGCTGCTGTTGTTGTCTGATGTTGTTGTGTTGTTGTTGTTTATTGTTGTTGAGCTGCTGCTGTTGTTGTTCTTATCGGTTATAAAATGAACTCGTGTAGATACTGAATTTTGTGTGGCTGTCGGATCCCCCTTCCCCACTTATCCCTTCCCTGTTTCGCCTCCCCCTTCTTCCCTTTCCTCTTCCCATTTCATTCAAATATTACCCACCCCCTTCCCTTTCTTCTATTCCCTGTTCTCTCTCTCTCCATCTCCTCTCTTCCCCCTTCCCCTTCTCTTCCTTCCTTTCCTTTCTCCTTCTCTCCCTTTCTTCTCCCTCCCCCATACCTTCTTCCTTTCTCCTCTCCCTTCCTCTCTTCCTTTCCTTTCCCGCTCTCCCTTTCCTTTTCCACCTCCTTTCCCCATCCCTACCCCTCTCCCTTCGTCGCCAAACCAATTCCATTCTCACCTCCCCCTTCTCCCTCCCCCTCTCCCTTTTCGTCGCCACCCATTTCCACTCCTTCCCCCTTCCATTCATCCCTCCCCCTCTCCCTTTCCCCTTCTCCCTTCGTCGCCACCAATTCCACTCTCCCCCTTCCCATTCTCCCTCCCCCTCTCCCTTCCCCCTCTCCCTCCCCTCTCCCTTCCCCACCCCTCTCCGTCGCCGCCCCCCCCCCTCCGTCGCCGGCCCCCCCCCCCCACTCATTTTAGATTCACCGAATTCTCCACGCTTAAGCATTGGCTCACTGTCGCGTTCTTCCCCCTGAGCGGACCACGCACGCACGCACACACGCACACACACTCACACACTCACTCACCCACTCACTCAATGGCGGCCCCGATTGTCCACCCGTAATGTGTCGCACGCTGGGTTTTTTCCTGTCCTTACGTTGCGTGCGCTGGGTCTTCCGTTGCTTTGCGCTGGGCCCCCGTTTGCCCCCGTTTGCCTGCGGCCGCTGGGTCCCGTTGCGTGCGCTGGGTCTCCGTTACGTGCGTGGATACCCGTTGCGTCGTGCTGGGCTCCGTTGCGTTGCGCTGGGTCTCCCTGTGCGCTGGGGCCCCGTTGCGTGCGCTGGGCCCTCCGTTGCGTGCGCTGGGCCCCCGTTGCCTGGCGCTGGGTCTCCGTTGCGTGCGCTGGGGCCCCCGTTGCGTGCGCTGGCGTCTCCGTTGCGTGCGCTGGGTCTCCGTTGCGTGCGCTGGGCCTCCGTTGCTTGCGCTGGGCGCTTGCGTGCGCTGCGTTTGCATGCGCTGGTCTCCGTCTGCCTTGCGGCTGGCATTGCGCGTGCGCCGGTCTCCGTTGCATGCGCTGGGTCTCCGCGTTGGGCGTTGCCGCTGGGTCTCCGTTGCATGCGCCTGGGTCTCCGACGCTGGGGTTTGCATGCGCTGGGTCTCCGTTGCATTGCGCTGGGTCTCCGTTGCGTGCCGCTGGGTCTCCGTTGCATGCCGCTGGGTCTCCGTTGCATGCGCTGGGTCTCCGTTGCGTGCGCTGGGTCTCCGTTGCATGCGCTGGGTCTCCGTTGCGTGCGCTGGGTCTCCGTTGCATGCGCCGGGTCTTCCGTTGCGTGCGCTGGCGTCCTGGTTTGCGTGCGCTGGGTCTCCGTTGCATGCGCTGGGTCTCCGTTGCATGCGCTGGGTCTCCGTTGCGTGCGCTGGGTCTCCGTTGCATGC